AGCCAGCTGAAGGTATGACTGTCAAAGTTGGAGTAAAGGAAGTCAACAATGTGCAAGTAGTTGAAAACTATAGAGATTTCAAGGGTTGTAGGAGGGGGGATTGTTACAGAAATAAGAAGTGGTGAGGCCATATCCTCATGCAGGCTTATCTATGTTTTAAAGCACAATTCACAACTTTGTTTCTGGTCTTCCAACTACATGTTACTGACCTGTATTTAAAAGCCACGTTCCTTTACCCATTAATGACTAGAAAAGATAAGTAGATATCCCATCAACATAAATGTTTAGTGCCAATGCCGTCAGAGGCATCAGTATAAAAAAAAACAAAATCTCTATCAATAAGTGTCAGAAACTCCAGTATTGCAGACAAGGAGTTATGTGAAGTAGACGCAAACTTTATGGTTCTGTAGTCAATAGATACAGCATTGTTATCCCAAAGAGTCATATCAAAGCGCATAATGCTACCAACAGAATCTGAACAAACTGTGCAAATTGGCAATTTTTACCTTCCTTAGAAATGAATCAGACAAGCCATCAGGTTTTATTTTTGGCAAACATATAAATTAATTTGCAAAGAAAATGCAAAGAAAATGACAATTCATTGACACAGAACAGTAACAGATTAAACTGAGTTTCAGATGACCTTAGATTAAATGTAATTGCAAATGTATTAATTTTAAATTATGACTAAAATGTTGACAAAACAAAGAGTTGTGGATGCTGGAAATCTGAAACAAAACAGAAATTGCTGGAGAAACTCAGAGCTGTTCTGAAGAAGGATCACCAGACTTGAAACTTTGCTTTGCCTCCACAGATGTGTCAGACTTGCTCAGTTTCTCCAGTAATTTCTGTTTTTGACTTCAATGTTAATCTTGTGCAGGGTGGATTTCTGTGCCTGACTGGTTCTTTATTGTGCGAAAATTATTGTTACAAAATATTCCTAGTGCAGCCTGAGAGATGGAAATGTAAAGTTCTTTATTAAATAATGTTTATAATATGCAGTAGCACAGATATACAAAATGGAATCTGTAGCAGCAGGTTTTACTAGGGAATAGTGCTATTCCTCTTGCTTTCCCATTTAATGTCATTCTTTTAAAATCATTCTTTATACCATTGTACCCTAATAGCCATTGAAATCCAGTTGAAGTGCTTTTCAAACCATGTTCAGCTAAAATCGGGTTCTAAGAACAATTATACTACAAATCATTCAGCTGTGTAATAGTGCTGTTTTGTTTTGGTACTCGTCAGAAACTGCTCTTAGACAACTGGTACAGTTTTGCATTCATCCAGACTATTTTCTGGAGCATTTGATCACCTGCGTTTGAAATATTACTTTGTTTCCCCATCTCTTGCTGACATTCCATGTCCAGTTTAGAAGTTCAATGAATAAACTGACTTATTTGCTTCCATTGGTTGTACAATCTATAGTTAATATCTTCATGAGGGCCGTGAACAAAATTGTAGGAGTCAAATAGAACTGTCTGGCAATGGGAGTTTAGTACACATTATACTGAGTCAGTTACATTTAGTCAGTATTCCAAGGCAATGTTAGCACTTGAGTAGCCAACATGTGTTATTGATAGGCACTAGAGATGCAAACCTCCAATGGTGGGATTGAACTCATTCCAATGGATCCAGGTCACTTAGTGAGAGAACACTGGAATGAGTAGGATGATTTAAACTACATAAGATTGTCAAATGGTTGACAGTATATTCTGCTTTAGTCAGGGAAATCCCATTGTACATGAGGGGAGTCAACAAGCCTTGGTTCTTGTCAATTTTCTGTGATATCTCTGGAGGCACAAAGGAGAGTGTGTACTCTTGATGCCAGCCAAACATAACCTCTCCTTGTGGATTCCATTGTCCATTGAAACTTCTAAGCACTTGGGAGATCAAGCAAAGTGTACAAAAGGAACTTATCAGTAGTTTTGTTTCTTTGTTGTTGCATAAATAATGTAAGCAAACAAATCTGGTCCGAATGACAAAGTTCCTTCAGTTATTTCAATTCAACCATAGAAGAGCAGTAAAAAACATGAGAATGTTCTGAAGAAGTCATATTGGACTCAAAAGGTTAACTCTGTTCTTCTCTCTCCGCGGATACTGCCAAACCTGCTGAGTTTGTTTAAGATTTCCAGCATCTGTAGTATTTTTTTTATTCATAGAAGAGCATTTTCTGGTCCATCAGGTCAACTGGTATATTTTCTGTGCTACTTACATTGTTTAGTGCTGCATTTTCTGAAACACAGCTAGACTTTTACCTAACATTGCTTTCCTGAGGATCTGGTTAGTGGAGGTTAAAGATGTATTTACTTCAGAATTGAAGTGCCAGCAATATCTTAATTGGTAGCCCTTACACCCCTGAATCAAACAGTTGGGATTTCCAGACCAACCGCAAATGCCTGACTGTAAAATCTGGGTTGTTGTTCCAGTGCATTACTGAGGGAGGGCTGAACTGCCTAAAGTGTTGCCTTTTAAGGTGAAATGATAAAGCAAAAGAGTATAAGAAAACCTATATAAGAAAATATATATCCTATATAAGAAAACCATAGCACTGTTTGAAGAAAATTGAAGCAATTTTGTGCACAGCGCAGTAATTATTCCCAAACCAGCATTGTTAAAATGCATTAATTCTCTGATAATTTATCTCTGTTGTCTGTGTGCCCTAGTGGGCACAAATTGACTGTTGTGGTTCCCACTTGACTGTTTTCCAGCATTGCCTCAGCTGGCAGCATGGAGACATAGAGTCATGCAACATGGAAACAAATCCTTCGGTCCAACTAGTCCATGCCGAACATAATCCCAAAGTAAACTAGTCCCACCTGCATATGTTCCTGGCATATATCCCTCCAAGCTTTCCTATTCATGTACTTATCTAAGTGTCTTTTAAACATTGTAACTGTGCCCACATCCACCACTTCCTCAGGAAGTTCATTCCACATGCAAACCACCCTTTGTGTAAAAACTTTGCCCCCATGTCTTTTTTAAATTTCTCTCCTCTCACTTAAAAATATACCTCCTTGTCTTGAAATCCCTCATCCTAGGGAATAGACACCTATCATTAACCCTCTCTAAACTCTTCATGATTTTATAAACTCTATAGGGTCACTTCTCAACTTCCTATGCTCCAGTGAAAAAAGTCCCAGCCTTTCTTTATATTTCAAATCTTCCATACTCGGCAACACCCTGGTAAATCTCTCCTGAACCCTCTCTAGTTTGATAATATTCTTCCTATATTAAGGCAAACAGAACTGGACACAGTACTCCAGAAAAGTCCTCGCCAATGTCCTGTACAACCTCAACACGACTTCCCAATGCGTATACTCAAAGGACTGAGCAATGAAGACAAGTGTGCTAAATGTAATGTTTCAAGTCCCACTCTACAATTTGAGCACAGCAATTCAGATTGATACTCTAGTCCAGTACTAAGAGAGTAATACACAGTCAGAAGTGTGGTTTGTTTTCACTCTAAGACCTCGTCTTCTCTTTTATGTGAGTATTATGGACAGCATGGTGGCTCAGTGGTTAGCACTGCTGCCTCACAGCTCCAGGGACCTGGGTTCGCTTCTGCCCTCAGGCGACTGTGTGGAGTTTGCACATTCTCCCCATGTCTGTGCTGGTTTTCTCCGGGTGCTCTGGTTTTTTCCCACAGTCCACAGATGTGCAGGCTAGGTGGATTGGCCATGCTAAATTGCCTGTAGTGTTCAGGGATGTGTAGATTATGGGGGATGGGTCAGTGTGGTCTTGTTGGGCCGAGGGGCCTGTTTCCACACTATAGGGATTGTATGATGACTCTATGCGGGGCGCTAATGTAGCGATGATGGCAATTCTTGGAAGAGAAAGGGAGTAACTCCTGGTGTCCTGGCCAATGCCTATCCCTCAAACACATCATATGTGTAGATTACATGGGGAGGACCAACAGCTGTTGGTGGAATCTTGCTGTGCGCAACCTAGCCGCTGAGTTTCCCGCGTCGCAGCGCTAACTGCATCTCAAAAGTACTGGATTGCTTGCAAAGGGACTTGAGAGATTGCGTGGTCGATAAAGACGCTACATAAATACAATCTTTTTTTAGGCAGTGACAACAATTCGCTTTGAAATACCCCAAGGTCATGAGGACGGTGCAGTTATTTGAGAATACCTGAGTTTGCTGTGTCCCTCATTCTATTGCCCCTACAGAAATCCTCATTGGTTAGCATGTAAACATCTTTGTCAAATCCCTAAATAATATTTACAACGGAGCATTTATCTGGTGATGACTTTGATTTGAAAAATGTCACCAAATAAAAAAACATACTGGATATCATTCACCTTGGAAAATTCCGTGACTGTCCAACACAAAAACAACTTTTAATCATGTGCCAATTATGGGGGTGAATCCACTCTTGCATGATATCTGTCACTTGTCTTTCACTACAAGAACAGAACTGGTCGCTGGGGCTGGTGTGTGTGTATGTGTGTGTGTGTGTGACAATATAGCGTGGCGGCTCAGAGCTCCAGAGAGATGCTCGGCAGCGACAAACTAGCAGGATGTGAAGCGTGCACTGAGTTAGCAGCTGAGGCATCCACTTACTCGGCGGTCAATAAAGAGACGGCGGAAAACGAGAATCAGCTCCTCACTGCGGCTACCGAACGAATATATATTAAAATAAATCCAAGGTGGAGAAAGGGGAAGAAATCAGAGTGAAATAGAAAGAGAGAAAGAGGATCATTGGAAGAGAAAAAGGTACAGGAGCGAATCGCAAGCCTATAAACTCCACGGCAAACGGCATTCTACAAGTAGGTCTGATGTGAATGATTGAAAGTACAATTCAAGGTAAACGCGAATGAAACCAAGTTTGGGGATGTGTTGATTAAAGGATTTAGGGAACCGGGTTTGAAGGGTCATTCGATTTTGAAGCAAGTCATTCAATTGCGCTAACTCTAGAGCAATCTTTACTTTGCAAATGTACTCAATGTCCATGTAATGTGTTTGATTGTTACAGTTTAATTGCTGTTGGTCGATATGGATGAGAACCAAAGCAGTATAGAGACCAATGACACAACGGCAGGGAACCCGGCCGCAGGAGAGCAGCAGCAGATCAGCGCCGACAGTTTCATTGTCCTCTTTATCTTCAGCCTGATCTTCTGCCTCGGGGTCCTGGGCAACTCGCTGGTTATCACGGTGCTGGCCCGCAGCAAACCGGGCAAAACGCTCAGCACCACTAACATCTTCATCCTCAACCTGAGCATCGCTGACCTCTCCTACCTGCTGTTCTGCATCCCCTTCCAGGCCACCTACTACGTGCTGCCCCGCTGGATCTTCGGCGGCTTCATTTGCAAGTTTGTCCACTACTTCTTCACCGTGTCGGTGCTGGTCAGCATCTTCACCCTGTCGGCCATGGCCGTGGACCGTTACATCGCTATTGTTCACTCGCGAAAGTCCTCCTGCATTCGGGTGTCCAGGAACGCCGTCCTCAGTGTGATCTTCATCTGGCTCCTGTCCCTAGCCACCGCTTCGCCGGTCGCTTATTACCACATGCTGGTTCACAAGAAGGACCAGGGTCCCTTCTGCTGGGAGAACTGGACTGTCCTCAGTCACAGGCAGATCTACAAGGTGGCCACTTTCGTGGTGGGCTACCTACTGCCCCTGCTTCTCATCTGCTACTGTTATGCCAAGGTAAGGCCAGTAAACAAAAAAAGACTTTCACATCTGCAGGATACTGCCGCCCATAGTTAACAGTTTTAAATGGTGATTGCCACTTGGTAGAATTGAACTCACTCATTCTGTTGGAATAATCCTTGTCATTCACGGCACTTTTTTCCCAATCTCTCCTCATGCCCAGACACTTTGAGACAGTCCAAGTCAAACTTATCCCGATTTAATGGTCGTTCCATGGGGTGTAGGGCAGTGAAAGCGGGGAAGGTGTATTGCTGTGAAGGTACTTTTCCCTCTTTGATGATTTCTCGTATAACATGATTCTGACTGCTGGGAATCCATGTCTTTGCTGGCTGGATCTTGTAAATTAAACACACACACACACACACATACGTTGCGCCGGGGGGAAAGGTTAAGTGAACATCAATCTCGTAACTTCAACTAGAATTTGAGACTATTTTAATTTCAAAAATATGTTTTATTCATAAAAATATGTGTGTATACATACTGTGACTAAAGCAGTTCGGTTCTGTACGGGAATATGTGAAGAAAACAATCAGACATTGAAGTTTGCGTCTGAGGCATGTTCCTTTGTCGATCGTTACCTCAATCCTAAAGTTGCCATCTGCTGAACGCCTTCTTGTTGGGCAGCAACGATTAGTTGTGACGATTTGGTCCGCTTGGATTGCAGTTTAGGAAAATAACAAGCTTCAGCTAGTACAATACCTGTTAAACTGAACAGACCTACACACAAGTGCGAATGTTTGCATAGCTTTTTGTGGTTGGGCAGGTGAGCAATTTCTTTTGACAATGTGAGCAGGTTTAATAATGTTAATTATTGGGTTTGCATCCTGCAACGCCCTCATTTACAGAGCTCTGGGTGTCCCTACACCTGCAACGGTTCAAGAAGGCAGCTCACAACTACCTTCTCAAGGGCAGGTAGAGGTGGACAATAGATGCCAGCCTTGCCATCTTTATGAAAGAATAACAAATGAAAAACAAAAATTCTGATCTATTTTACCCAAGTAGTTAAGACCTTAAGCTCAAACCCTTCTGTGAGGAACAGGTCTAATTAGACTTACGTAAAACAAAAGGTGATTTTGTTGGAAGAAAAAATGCTTATGGATTGACAGCTTCTGAGAAAAAGTCACAAACTAAACTAATTTTATGAAAAACTTGCAACGAATTGTTGAGAATAAGTTGATAGAATGAATGAGCTAACCAAATACACAGGACCACATTAGACATAGGGCACAAAGCAGCCCATGTGGCATTCATATGCCACTTGATACTTCATCCATTTTTCTTAATCTAAATCTAATGTTCATAAGTCTTCATATGATTCTCTACCCTCCTCCTAAATGTATCTGTCTATTGACTTCATCCTCTTCCTATGATCAGTTATTCCACATTCTCATCAGTCTTTATCTTCATTGATATTCCTCATTTCATTTCTAGGCTATAACTATGAAATAAATGTCTTTCTGTTTCTTTCTCTACCACGTTCTCCATGTGCAAAGGATGCTAAATTAAATGATTTTTTGAACGTGATCAGTCTTAAACGAGGTGCAGAGAACTGCTGCTGATATTTCGGTGAACTGCCCCTCTATTCACAGAACCCAGTAAGAATACTTGGTGTGGAAAGTGGAAAATGTTGACATTGGTTTAGCAGGAATCTTCATTAGAATTTGAAATGAAGTCACATGGTTGAAGAGCTGCAGATGTAACTTTCTACTTGGTTAGGTTGTCTATCATCCAGGATTATTCAATATTTCCCCTGGATTGCAGGATTTTCCCCAATATCGACTTTCAAGCACTTACAGCAGGAAGTAAGATGAAATATTTTGATTGCTTTCAAAATCAATTACTCACCAGAAGGCAGCAATTTCTCTGATCAGTCAGTGCAGACGCACTAGAAATCATCTTTTGTACTCATTTCCTGTGAGATTATTAATAAGTTAGTTGTAAAACTTGGTTTCATTTGATCTACTGAATTGCAAAGTTCGTTGTAGTATGGGTTGATGTGATGATCACAAACTGCCAGGGGAACATTTACTTTCCTTTGTTGTAAATTTATGCTGCAGTATTCAGGTGACTTGATGGTAACCAGCTTGATCAAGTTCAGATAAAAACATTTCTGATCACCAATCTTGAGAAACATTATGACGTCAGAACAAAATTGATTTCACCAGGAGTCTGAACACTTCACATTTTATAAAAACAAAGTGCTATAGAGGCTGGACGTTTGAAATAGAAGCAGAGTGTTGAAGAAACTCATCCGGTCTGGCTGCATTTGTGGTTCTGAAGATGAATCATAATGGACTTAAACATGAGCCAATACAAAATCTTTCAGGTAGCATACTCAGATCATAAAAATTCACTTTGTAAATATATATTTCTTCTCATCTCTGTCCTGGCTTTTAAATCTCTGTCATTGTGAAACTCACTCTCCTGCCATGGAAACAGTCCCTCCCATTCAATCCTATCAAAAACCTTCAGAGGATTACAGATTTCTACTGCTTCTCTCAGATCACTAGCACAGTAGCTTGTAAAATACTAATTTAGTTTCACATTTCAAATTGTTTGGGAACCACAGGTTTTCTATCCACTGAAATAAAGGGACAGAGATTTTCATTTAAATGTAAATTGTTGCATCACTGTGCATTCTCTATCTCAGTAATGTACAGCCTTACAACTGCATCAATCCTTTATACTTCAGTTTATCTATGCACTATGATCTCAGGTTACCAGACAATTGCATTGATTTGCACTGAGAAACATATCTGCATGTCTACATTTTCTTTCGTGGAAATTGCTATCTCCTATCCAGAGCTGTACACCTCTGTGTATGCCAAGAGATTGAAACTTACATATAGCTCAGAACAGTATCAATTATACTAAATATGGGACACTGTAGGAATTGAATTCAATATATTAATTTTTCCTTACCTAATGAACATTTTTCTATACAATGATATAAAGAAACACATATGAACACAAAGATTTTTTTAAATGCAGAATATTTATTAGCAATATTCTTATTATACATCATGTAACAATTTTCAATCTTGTAATTTCCCCAGTTCTTTTATTTGAAAATTGTGTCATCAAAGTTTTAATGCTGTTATTTAGGCTTGGGTTTTGATATAAAATATAGGCACAAACAAGGTGATATGATTTTTGTAGTTACTTATTTGTTGTGTTCTACGTGCAGCGTTCAGAATGGTGGTTTTATTTGGTTTTGGAAGTGTACCAGATGTAATGTTTTCTGCTTACTTTATGCCAGTCGCTAGCCAAGCTCCAGTTTCACTTGTCAAAAGGTTTAAACATTAGAAAAAAATGCCAGGATTTTGAAGGAAAATTCAAGTAAAGAAATGCCAAATGGCACTGTGGCTTAGTTGTTAGCATCGCTGCCTTATGCCACCAGGGACCTAGGTTTGATTCCACACTTGGGTGACTGTAAGGAGTTTGCACATTCTCCCCGTGCCTGTGTGGGTTTCCTCCAGATGCTCCAGTTTTCAGTCAAGAGATAAAGCAATTCAGGTGGATTGTCTAGAAATCTGCAGGCTAGGTGGATTAGCCATGGGAAATGCAGGTTAGGGGTTTGGGCCTGGATGGCGTGCTCTTTGGAGGGACAGTATAGACTTGATGGGCTGAATGGTGTGATTCCACACTGCAGGGATTCTATGATTCTATGCAAGTAGTGGAAATCTTATATTAAAGCTGTTCCTAAGCAAATGCCAAGTCAGGAAGATGGAGTATAGAGGAAAGACTGTGATAGGGTAAAGAGCAGGAATGATTAAATGGCATTTGTTTATGCAATGTGAATATTTCTAGCTGGGTCAACATTTACTGTCTATCTCTTGTTTATACTTCCGTGAGCTTCCTCCTTGAATAGTTGTAGTCCATTTAGTGTAGGTACACCCACAGTGTTGTTAACAGAGGAGTTCCAGGATTTTGACCCAGAGACAGTGAAGGAACCATGGTATTGTTCCAAGTTTACAATAATGTATAGCCTGGATGGGAACTTGCAGTAGGTATTTTCCCATGTATCTGTTATCCTCATTCTTCCATGTAGAGATTGCAGGTTTAGAATGTTGTATAAAGCTGTAAGGGGTTAAAAGAGTTAATACTGAGGGGTGCTTTAAGCACCATCCATCATATTAATATCATGTGGACTTGTGGATAGAGCTTAGGATCTCAGATGATTAACCAAACATGGACCTGGACTAAATCTAATCAGAAATCAGCTATGTGTCATTTCTTGCTGAGTTTCATAGAAGGTTTCTGTCTGGGAGGATTAGTTTGTTTTCTCATGTTTTCATCTCAAACTCACCTCATTGTCTAGGTACTGCATCCCAATGGCACCCCATCTGTCTGAAGCTAGCCCAATTCTCCCACTCACTTTACCTGGCAGTCTGCAGCCACTCTTTAAGATTTGAGATGTTTGGCCAGGCACTGGCAGACAAGGAGAAATTGGTGACCTGCTTTGAGGTCAGGGAACTGAAAGCCCTGGTGATGGGGTGGTGCAGAACAGTCCTCTTCCCTCAGGACCAGCAGCAGAGCCCACTTCAACACAGCCTGACAACTTTTCTAGGTTGCCACATGGGTCAGTGAGGTATCAGAGGTCCAGAAGGATACTCAGTGTTCTCCATCAGTGTGAGTGCCACCATCTTCTCTCTTGCTACCTCATAGTTACTGTATCTCAGCTATTGTACCCACACCAAGGCCCATGTTCTACCACTCTCACTATTGCATGCAGCATCTTCCCTCACTCACTCTGCCCCACCCCAAATCATCATTGTACTAACCCTGCATAGCCTTTGCACTGTCTACTCACTCACTTGCAACACATCACCAGCTTTCTACCTGCAACTATAACACTAACAGCTGTGCCACCCTCTTTCACCTCACCTAATCACTATCTTACTCTCATTCCAAAAGAATAGGGCCCATCACGGAGGATTGATCCTATGGAGATGCTGAGCCACCCATATCAGGGCAATCAAAAAAGAAGCATTGTCCTTTGTTGTGTCACTGTCTTATTATCCCCACCTTGAATGTACTGTTAACATACCATAACTTCTAATTTTTGTTGGTGGTGCATTCTCTGTCTTGACTCGATGCAGATACCAATAGCATTACTGCAATATCCACAGTCAAAATCTGGGCCCCATAAGACATCTCCTGCTCCATCTCAGATACTTCAGAGGATGCTCTGGAAAGGCTATCTCCCGCACCCCCACCAACTCAGATACTGACACCTTGATGGGTACTTTAGCTGGATTAAAGTAGGGAGCACACGCTGGTGAGCATGTCACAACCACATTTCCACAGCTGGCTGAGGAAGAATTGCCGCAGGTTGCTGGCATTCAGAGGACTGCTGGAGATCTGGCACCTGCTCAGCCTCAGGCAGGAGAACACACCATGGTGTCGGCAAATTGTGGCATGTCGAAGTAGGCACAGCAGCAGATGGCAGGTTCATTGAGACCCTGGACAAACTGACAAAAGCTGCAGAACTCAGCAATGCTATTGGGACCCTGCTTTCTCAAGCGTCTGCCTGTTTGGCTGCCTCCATAGACAGGCTGAGGCCGTCAAGGACACTCTGGTCCAGCAGTCTCAGAGTCTGTGGATATGTAATGTCTGTGTAATGCAATTACCCTTTGAATGGTATTACATTACTCAAAAGCAAATCCCTCTCCCTCATTGAAAGAAACAACATATTTCCATTCACTCTGGATGTGCTCACAGCCAATTTCATCTTCATTTTGCACTTGTTAATTTTAGGAATTGTTCTTCATGCAGTGAATCTTAGGTTCAGCCTTTTAATATTGGTCAACCCCAAAATGTAAATATTTTTCTTGGTCGTTCTCTCTGTCAACCCCACAACCCCATTGATTTTGAACTTCTGCACAAGCATTCACTGCCTCCACCACCAAAGCTCAGAAGCAGCAGTGTGCATTATCAACAAGATGCACTGCAGAAATTATCCAAAGCCCCTCAGACAGCACTTTTCAAACCCATGACCACTTCATCTTGAAGGGCAAAGGCAGCTGATACATGGAACATCACCACCTGCAAGTCCCCCTCCAAGCCACTCACCATCCTGACTTGGAAATATATCGCTGTTCTTTCAGTGTCATTGGGTCAAAGTCTTGTAACTCCCTTCCCTCACAGCATTGTGGGTCTACCTACAGTATGTAGACTGCCATGGTTCATGAAAACAGTTCACTACCACCCTGTCAAGATCAACTAGGGATGTGCAATAAGTGCTGGCTCAGCCAGGGATACCCACATTTCATGACTGAATAAAAGATTTAGTCCCCACTCAGCCTGTCTATTTAGGATCTGTGCACTGTCCCCCTATCAAAGCCAGGGAACCACTGACTGTCGATGACTCCCTCTCCCTCATTACTTTCTTTTCCTTCATTCACTGCTGTCTCCCCCATTGTATCTTGAATTGACCTCTTGCACAACTCTAGTCCCCAAATGTGCTGCCTCCAATCCCCACAAAAAAGTTTCCCAGCTTCCCTCCCACAAAAAAGGCTCCTGATAGCCCCCACTTTAGTAACCCCAAGGACAGACCATGGGCGACCCCCATGAGTGACTTAGCCAGAAAGCTCTGAACATTGAGTGACCAAACTTCTAAATTATATCTGCACATTTCCTGCGATTCCCTGGACTGATTACATTGGACCCACAGAGCTGACTGTAGCCCACTCCTTGGATTGTAAATGTCGAGACTCCCCTGACCCTGACCACATTGGTGAGTTGACTGACCATGCCCAAACCCCTGGACTAATATTAGAGGCTAGCCTTGACTTACTGTACCAACTCCCTGCCTGAAAGGTGTCTTGCTGGACCTTTCTGAAGACTACTCCCCTTAGACTGTGAGACATGGCTGTTTGCTTGAAACATGTGCAGAGTGTTTGCTGTGTACTGTGGCTGCTATATGGTCCAGGTGTGCGATTAATGTAACACAATACCATAAAATGTCCATCCCCTTGATTGATGACTGCTGGCGACCATAACAAGCTGCCTGGCTTTTGGTCTGAGCTAAAAGGCAATTCAGGATAGAAGCACTATGAGCCTTTATGCTCTTGTTTAGTGGATAAGTCACCAAAAGGCAAGACAAGGCATGGCTGAGCAAGGCTGAGCATCAAAGTAGGGACAGAGTGAGTGAGTGTTAAGTGAGCAATCAAGAAATAGTGAGGTGCACCCGAGTTCAAACAATGAGTCAGATGCCTGTCATTGGTGTAAAGTAGCCTGGCAACAGGATAGCAATGAAAGGTGCCTTTGAGTTCTAGACTGCAGCATTGAAATGCAGATGCATATTGTAAATGGATGGGAGATGTGTCATGATGATGCAATGAGGATAGATTGTATTGGATGCTAATGTGCACAGACATGGGGTTCTTGATCATTGCCCGTGGAATATACCCTGAGATATTGGTGGCTGGTGAGCAAGGTGAAGTTCTGGAGGAACAAGCAGTGAGCTGGAGTTGCCAGGTAATTGCTTGGACTTTCATGTCAGCAGTGCGTGCTCCATACTTTCTATCTGATGGGTGGGAGAACGGGAAGCAGCATATCTATGAGACAAACATAGGCAGTAAAGAAGGTAATAATGAGCGATAATCCATGCAAAATGGCCTGTTACCATTCACTAGTGGGAGTCTTGTTTTGTCATCCACTAAGTTTAGAATTTAAAATTTTTGCGATTGAGTATGAAACCATGTTTTGACCTCCATCTTCTTCAAGTGTCAGAAGTTAACTAAACTAGTTAGCATCCTGAAACGATGGTCTAGGATCAGCCAGCTATGGAACAATGGGCAAAGGAACAGTCAGTTAAAGAACAGCTGGTTATACAGCAACTGGTCAAGAGACAACTGATAGAAGATTTCATTGGCTGGTGTCGACTAATGGCAAAATCCAAACAGAAAACAGAATGCATTGAGATCAGTTGCGTTGGTATATGAAATTTGTTTCACACCATCAGCAAAATGGAAAACTACGACTATGTTGAACTGATAATCATGTTTTCCATTGTTGTCAACATTGAAGAGAATTTGGACTGCAATAATCAAATAAACTCTCAAGGAAACACAAGCAATAAGATAAACAATGAACTGTACATCTATTTGAGTTAGTTGACAAACCCATAATTGATATAACTCAAAAGTGAAACAACGATTGGTGAACAAATTGAAGTCTGATCCTAAATGCTGAGATGACTGGGAAGAGAAACATTCAACCAGAATATTTGAATTCCTATCTTCCCAGGAAAATCCTCAGCAACTTTTTCAGAGATCAAGCCGAGAAAGATGCACTCCTCAAATAGGAAAAAAATCATAATAAAAACTAAAAGAACTGCGGATGCTGTAAATCAGGAACAAAAACAAAGTTGCTAGAAAAGCTCAGCAGGTCTGGCAGCACCTGTGAAAGAGAAAACAAAGTTAACATTTTGGGTCCGGTGACCCTTCCCCAGTTCCGAGGAAGGGTCACCGGACCCAAAACGTTAACTCTTTTTTCTCCTTCACAGATGCTGCTAGACCTGCTGAGCTTTTCCAGCAATTTTGTTTTTGTTCCAGGAAAAAAATCAAGTTGGTTTCACCAAAAATGCAACGGTTGAGGGCAAATAATCTACATTGTTTAGCACAGATCTATGGGCAGCTCCAGAATAAAAACCTGCTAATGGAATTTGATGAGCAGAGTGCTCATACAACATGGAAGGTGCTGTGAAGATGCCGAAGTAAGTTGCTGCAGTGCAACATGTAAATGGTATTCAAATGTACTCTGTCACACTCCTGCCTTCTGCCATGTTGATGATAGACAGGTTTTGGGGTAACAGAAGGTGCATTACATGCCTCAGACATCCTCGCCTCTGATCTATCCTTGTAGCCAAGGTATTTATCTAGTTAGTTCACTCAAGTTTCTAGTCAATAGTAACCCCTAGGATGTTGATAGCGGAGGAATTCAGTGATGGTAATGTCATCTAGGTCTTGGTGCATATGTGCATGGATTGTTTCAGTATCTAAGTAATGGGAAAACAATTTCCCTTCACTCTATCCTTGCCTACAAATTGTTAAATTACTAACGTCTTCCAATTCTGAAGGTCACCCAGCCTGAAATGTTTTGTCCCTCCCTATGATGTGTGACCTGTTAACTACTTGCAGCATTTTCAATTTTTATTGCAAATTTAGTACTTTTTTGGAAAAAAATAAGTAAAACAAAATACTTGTGTTGATTGCAGACTATTCAGCAATTTTATGGTAACATTGTATTACTTTCAGGTGCTGAATCACTTGCACAAAAAATTGCGCAATATGTCGAAGAAATCAGAAACATCTAAGAAAAAGGTAAGCTAATTGCATAAAAATTGCATTTTCCAGTACTACATCCTTTGCGATCTCTGTGCTCCTCCAAATCTAGCCTCTTGTGCAGTCCCCATTTTAATCATTTCACCATTGGTGATACTGACTTCAATTGTCAGCCCTGAGTTGTAGAATTCCCTCTCTAATCCCTCCTACCTCAATACTCTCTGCCTCTCTAAGACTGTCCTTAAAACCTACCTTTTTGACCATACTGTCCTCATTTCTTCTTATGTGACCCAGAGTTAAATTTTGCTTTCTAACAGCCCTGTGGAAATCCTTGGAATGTTTCACCATGTTCAAAGTGCTGCATAAATGCAAGTTGTTGTTGAAAGAGTATAGCATTCATTATTTTATTGAGTTGACTCATTGGAGTTGAAACAATTTTATCAGTGTGCATAGACCAATACCTAGTGGACAATAAGACGGCATGGTGGCTCAGTGGTTAGCATTGCTTCCTCACAGTCCCAGGGACACAGGCTTGATTCCACCCTTGGGCGACACACACACACACACACATGTAAATCTGTGGGATGAATTTGTATTTACAGATATGTTCTATTTTGTTCAAAAAGCACACAATTTATAGTCAGTCAATGTGGCATTTTATAAATTCCTACTTTAGAAATAAAACCAGTCTGACTCCAAACCAAAACAGAAACAGATTCTAAAAAAGTTCTAAACAAGGCCTCACACCTAACATGCATTGTTTGATCTAAAATGTCACCTCTTCTTTACATTGACAAAACCTTTAGTTCTTTCAGGACTCTGACTTGAAAGGAATTCAGCGATATATATATATTAATCAATTAAAACCTTTTAACTGATTAAAGATGTAATAGCATATTAGGTTTGTTTAATACATCCTCATCAGTGGTGTGACCCTTTGATCTTTTATTTATAGATTCTGTGTCTGATACCACCTCACTAACACCTGGAGAAAAAGCAAGGTTCCGAAAGCTTGTGTTTTCAAATAAGCCTGTTGACTATAACCTGGTGTTGTGTGATTTCTGATCTTCTGGAAGAAAACATGCACCAAAGCACTCAAATGTGCTGAAGGTTACTCCACATTTAAAAAAGTGAAACAGATAATCCACATAGCGTAGCTAACCTCATATAATAAACGGGCTAACAGCTAGGAATTATGGTAAGAAATAACAGTGATGAACGCTGAGACAAATGTTAGTCAAGAGCTGTCGGAGGAATGTAACAAGTTACATATGGACAGGAGGACAGGGCATCTTCATATGTGTGAATGGCTGCAGAGACCAATCCAGGAAAGTCATGTTCTGCCCATTTGCCACACATGAAGTGGTTACGAGGTATTATTATGAGTTGTTGGTTGGTGCAATGTTGATACTAGTTGCCAAGCCACTGAAAGCACTTAATCACCTTAGTGGCACATGTCATTCTCTAGGTGATGTTGCCACTTTCCTCTGTTCTCAGTGAATGTCTTCCATGTGTGAGAATCCATGTTTAGGGCCTTCTTGTCACACTTGCAAGCATCATTGAAGTGCATCTTTGTGTATTTTGCTGGTCATTTTGCTCTGATGTCCTCACCATGCAGAAAATCCTTCAGTGTACACCCCCTTCTGTCCTGTGAATAGCATCTTGATCTTTGTTCTTTGAATGAATTCTGCACCAACTACACTTTCTTTCAGGACAAGTATCAAGGTAAGAAATCATGACATCATCCAAGTGGATGTTCAGATGAGGCAATCATTATCTTAAGGAAGGAATTAAGCACTTGAAAAAAATGACTCCCATTTACACAGTGTCCCATCCTATCCTCAGACATCCACTTCGTAACCAATGGATTACTTTTAAAATCTGTTACAATTGTGTAGACAGTTGTAACTCTCCATTTCCATGTAAAGCCCCATAAATGGCAAGTGAATAAATGAGCAACTCGTTTCTATTTTGGCGGTGTTGGCTGGGTGAGGAATAATAACTAAGAAATTGGGAGAACATAACATTAGTTTTCAAACATTGTCAGTTAATGTTTTATAACACCCACCTGAACAAATTTTGTATATATCTGAATGCCAGCACCTCCACATGACACAATACTTACATTGTTACTCATTCACAGAGTGTGGGGATCACTGGTATAGTCAGCATTTAAACAGAAAGTAATCTCAAAGTTTTTTTTCAAAAACAATAAATTCTTTCTTCATATTAATGTCACTCATTTTGCCTATCCAAATAAAAACCAAGTTTTTTAGCTCCATTGATTAGATATTTCTGGAATTTGCATATAGGAGCTTATAGAAGCAAAATGGAATATACCTCAGGACACCATCTACAATACTGTACTCTTAATATTTGGAAGGCAATAGTGACAGATTTGAAGTTAACATCACTGTGATGGAGCCTGTCATTGAAGCCATGCGGTCTACTCCCATTAATTACAAGAGAGACCTGAATGAGAAGACCCTGAATGCACTAAGACCCGCTTAAAGTCCAGCAGGTTGCTAGGCTGTGTGCCAGTGACTACTAGTTGTATTTTTGCCTGAAATTTGTAATGTTCTTTGACCCAGTGAATGTCAGAGCCATGAAGGCAGGATCAAAAAGGCAACAAGTCCGTCAATGAAGATAGCAACTTAAGTGCAAACAAAGGTAGTGGAGGTCATCACCAACTGCAATAAACATTTGGAAAGATAAGTGGAATAATGTACTTTGGAGTGTACACTCTAACCGGGGAAGTTCTAGATGCTAGTAAAAGCCTGCCTATAATAATAAAACTGATATTAAATTCACAGTGGAAGAGCTTAGTAAAGGTGTTAATTTGTTTTCCATTAACAAAGTTCCAGGTGGTGATGCTTTACTGCTTGAATTCATCAAAGATGGGAAATTAGCACTCCATGCATGATGTGCAATGATTTTGACCCTGTAAAAGAACAGGGGTATAGCAGTGATTGCACCAACCATTGAGTCATTGCCTTGCTTAGCATTGTAGGAAATATATTTACCCATGTTGCCCTTGTAAGCCTGCACATTGTGGCCGAATGCACAACCTCGAATCCCAGTGTAGTTTCAGAACAGGAAAGTTTCAGAACAATTTATAATTGACATGAGCTTCTCAGTCTAAAAGCTTCAAGAGAAATACCATGAACGAAGGAGACCAATATGTATTGCCTTCATCAATTTCACCAAGCTATTCAGTCATGTGAACAGAGACAGACTATTTAAGCTGCTGGTGAAAATTGGCTACAAACACAAAGAATGTTGGAGAGATTTAGCAGGTCAGTCAGCATCTGTGGAAAGAAATAAAGTTAACTTTTCATGTCTGGTATGACTTTTCCTTAGAACTTCTTCAGAATGTTAGCTGCTACTGAAGCTGCTTAGTGTGATCTCCTCCTTCCAGGGCAACATAACAGGTAAAGTTTGCTATTTCAAAGCAAATCAGAATCCCTTTAAAATTTGCAATCTGGTCAATCTTGACTCAGTTCTAGCACCAACAGTCTTTGACTTAATCTTCTCTTTGCTGCTGCTATATGTTGTCAGGCCCTACCATCTTCAGCTGCTTCATCAATGACCTTCCCTCCATCGTAAGGTCAGAGGTGGGGATGTTCGCCGATGATTGCACAATGTTCAGCACCATTCGTGACTCCACAGATACTGAAGCAGTCCATGTTCACATGCAACAAGATCTGGACAATATTCAGGCTTGGGCTGACAAATGGCAAGTGACATTCGTGCCACACAAATGCCAGGCTATGACCATCACCAATAAGAGACAATCTAATCACTGCCTCTTGACGTTCAATGGTGTTCCATCACTGAATCCCCCACTATCAACATCCTGGGGGTTACCATTGACCAGAAACTCAACTGGACTCAGCACATTAACACAGTGGCTACAAGAGCAGGCCAGAAGCTGAGAATACTGCGGCAAGTAACTCATCTCCTGACTCCTCAAAGCCTGTCCACCATCCACAAGGCACAAGTCAGGAGTGTGATGGAATACTCCCCACTTGCCTGGATGAGTGCAGCCCCAACAACACTCAAGAAGCTTGACACCATCCAGGACAAAGCAGCCCACTTGATTGGCACTACATCCACAAGCATTCACTCCCTCCACCACCGACGCTGAGTAGCAGCAGTGTGTACTATCTACAAGATGCACTGCAGAAATTCACCAAAGATCCTGAGACAGCACCTTCCAAACCCACGACCACTTCCATCCAGAAGGACAAGGGCAGCAGATATATGGGAGCACCACCCCCTCCAAGTTCCCCTCCAAGTCACCATCCTGACTTGGAAATATATTTTTATATATATTCTATATATATTCCTTCACTGTTGCTGGGTCAAAATCCTGGAATTCCCTCCCTAATAGCTCACAGCGGGAGGAATGCAATAGTTCAAGAGGCAGCTCACCACCACCTTCTCAAGGGCAACTAGGGAAGGGCAAGAAATACTGGCCAGCCAGCGATGCCCACATCCCACAAAATGAATAGAAAATAAAAAGATAATTTACAGAGGATGTTTACTTACATATCAGAACTGATGGAAAGCTGTTCAGCCTTTCCTGTCTAATATTCAAGACAAAATTCTGCTAAGTTCTTCTTGGAGAACTGTTTTACGGTGATGAAGTCACACTCCCATTCCATATTGAGGAACACTATCAGCTCCAAATGTAAATGCTTTCACACTGGTAAAGTGTTTGGTTTGACCATCTGCAATGGGAAAGCACATGTTATAGTCCAGGATGTTGCCACACTACCATTTATCTATATTCATAGCATTGTTGATAGTGACACATATGTAGGCTCCACGATCACTAGTAATCTGTCACTTGATGCTGAAATGATCACAAAAGCTGAGGCTGTTACGCCTGAGCAAGCAGGTGTGGAACAATGGCAGCCTGATTGAGAACATCAAACTGTACCAAGACTGAGTTCCCAGTGTACTCTCCTGTGGCAGTGAGCCCTGGACAGCAGGAGAAAAAGCTAAACTGTTTCTACCTTCTCTGACTCAGAACT